CCTGCTGAATTGGGTAAGCTGTCTGTTTTGAAAAGTTTGAATATTTACAACAACAAACTCTCTGGTGAGATTCCAGTTGAGTTTGGAAACTTATCTTCATTGGTTGAGTTAGTGGCCTATAGCAACTTTCTTGTTGGACCCCTGCCTAATTCCATTGGAAATCTTAAGAATCTTGTAAATTTCAGAGCTGGGGCAAATAACATTACCGGTAGCTTGCCAAAGGAAATTAGTGGATGTAAGAGCTTAATGCGTCTTGGTCTTGCACAAAATCAGATAGGAGGGGAGATTCCAAGTGAGATTGGGATGCTTAACAGATTGAAAGAACTAGTTTTATGGGGAAACCAGTTGACAGGACCTATTCCAAAAGAGATTGGTAATTGTACTAGTCTTGAGAACATTGCTTTATATGGGAATAATCTTGTTGGACCTTTACCTAAGGAAATTGGGAACCTGAAATCATTGAGGTGGCTTTATCTTTATAGAAATAAGTTGAATGGAACCATTCCAAGGGAAATTGGAAATCTTTCTTCGTGTTTAAGCATTGATTTCTCAGAGAACACTTTAGTAGGTGGTATCCCTTCAGAGATTGGCAAAATAAGTGGTCTAAGTTTGCTCTTTCTCTTTGAGAACCATCTAACTGGTGTTATACCAAATGAGTTTAGTAGCCTGAAGAACCTGTCAAAGCTGGACCTGTCTATAAATAATCTCACAGGTCCAATTCCATTTGGCTTCCAATATTTGACTAAAATGTATCAGTTGCAACTTTTTGACAACTCCCTAAGTGGCATTATTCCTCAGGGACTTGGACTTCGTAGTCCTCTTTGGGTGGTTGATTTTTCTGACAACAACTTGACAGGAAGAATACCTCCTCATCTATGTCGAGATTCTCACTTGATGTTGTTGAATCTGGCATCTAATCAGCTATATGGAAATATTCCAACAGGGATACTGAACTGTAAATCATTGGCACAGGTTTTGTTACTTGGAAACAGGCTTACTGGCAGCTTCCCTTTAGAATTGTGTAAGCTGGAGAACTTGACTGCCATTGATTTGAATGAGAACAGGTTCAGTGGTCCACTTCCTGCTGGTATTGG